CAGAGAAAAGAGTAGGGTCTTTTGAGTTGCCCCTATGCATTAGAATCTGTGACTCACTGCCTGATGAGTTATTGATTGTCCTTACTCTAGGCAAAATCTAGGATATCAGATCTAAAGACTATGGACCTAAGCTACTTTTTCTCAGTGCTCCAGTGAAGTAAGAGTGACTCTAAACTTTTGCCAGGAAGTGTCACTAGTATATAGCTATTGCAAACCTGGTTTGGACGCCAATCATCTGAAGATCTAGTCTCTTTCTTTTTTTTTTTCAGTCTCTTAAGATAGTAATTATAATCAGGACATTGGGCATTCCCTCCCCCCCTTTTTGCTCGTTTGTCTTAGATGATCAGGTTCCCTTTCTTTTTGCCCAGTCCTCTATAGTCTCATTTTTTATCATAAGAAATTATAAAAGCCAATGTATCAGGATCTTCCAATTTCTTTGACCTCTAGTGAAATAATGTCAATTGCTGAATGAATTAAGGATTTGTACAAAGTATACCTTTTCTTTTTCTTCAGAATCTAAATTAAAGAAAGGCCAAATTGTATTGCAGGAAATATTCTTTTGGTTAAGGATTTATAAACAGGCTAATCATACATAATATTCTCCAACTGATTTTGTCCAGAATGGATGATCTAAAACAAACAGGACAAAAGAAAAGTGTTATAAATGAACAATTCTTAGATGTGATACAGGTGCATATTCATTAAATATAACAAAACTTCTCAACAGATACAACTTTTATCCCTCAGATACAACTTCTTTTCATCAGCTACAATACAACTTCTATTCTTAGAATATATTAGGTCAAATACAGGCTGGCACCAAGGGACCAACAAAGAATGGACAGCTTCTGCTTCTATTTATACAGATTTATACCCAAAGCACAATAGCAACCAATGTAGGCACAATAGTACAATAAATATAGACCAGGCATATAATCTGACAAGCACCTTAGTGCAACAGAGATAGAGTTCTCATTCTTGCTCTTACAGATATGGAATGAATGACTCACTTTAATTTACTCCGAGATATATCTGGCTAACAGGCACACATGTATAGTCACCAGGGATGGCCGGAATATGCATAAAGTTTACCAAGTGTGCAGTTACCAGATAAAGTGCCTGAATTCACAAAGGTGATAGATAATGCTGAGAATTGGTTTCTCAAAGGTCTTTTGAGACAATAGAACTCATCAATGTCTTTGAACATTTGAGATATTTATTCTTGGGATGCTCCAGTCTACAAAATTCAGAATGCCCCAAGCAAGCAAATACAAAAGTTGCTTTTACTTACCAGATGAGTCAGAAAATCCCACCAGAGTCACCAAAGCGTTAGTGAACACAAGAGATTCTTTCCATAGTCACTTGGCAATAAGGGAGATGGATTGCAATATCCAAGGCACTTTATTGCAGATCTGGGAAAAAGGAGAGAAGTGTCTGAAAACTACTTCTCCTTTATTTTGTATTACTAGTCTCTTCTGATTATAAAAGTTTTAAATTTTATTTTCAAGTGTCATAATTGGTTTAATGAAGATCATATTTAAGAGCTTTACCTGAATTTTTAGGGAGTTCTCGTGGCCTAATCGCAAGAAACTATGCTGCAATGCTAAAATCACATGGTTCAGATATACCAGCTACTCTGCAGAAAAGGATGGGCAACTTCCTCCTCTGTGATTAACTGCCTCTGAAAACCCACTGCCAAGTCCACTATAGGTTGGTTCTGACTCGATGGTACATAACAACAACAACAAACTGGCTCTATTAGGGCAAATAGCATTAATTCTTTTTTTTCTGGAACTATTTATGGGCTATCATCTCAGTGTCAGGCATGATGCCAACACTGAGGGTTCATAATTTACTTGAGAAAAAGATCAATGAGCTCTGGTGGTCTAGTAGTAAAAAACTTCACTGCAATTCCGAAAGGATATGGTTCAAATACACCAGCTGCTCTACAGGAGAAGGATACACAATATTCTCCTGTGTGATTTATTACCTCTGAAAACCCATTGGAGGGTTAGCTCTAGACCTTGATTTCTCAATAGCCTGCTATGCAACTGAGAGCTGGATTAAGGATGAGAGAAGAAGAAGAATCATCTATGCCTTTGGGTTGTCATGCTGGAGAAGACTATTGAATGGACTGGCAAGAAAACAAACAGATCTGTCCTGAAGAGGGAGAAACCAGGCTACTCCGTGTAGGCAAGGATTTTGAAAATCCATTTAATATATTTTGAGGGTGTTTGTTGTCCTTAGAGAAGGACATCCTGATTCGAGGGTCAGAGCAGGAGAGGAAGACCATGGGTGAGAGGGATTGACACAGTGATTGTGGCAATGCGGGCAGGTGTGTCAGAGAAAGTGAGATTGGCTCAGGTTAGGCGGTGTTCAGAGCTATTGGGTTGCTATGAGCCATAGTCAACTCGACGACACATAACAACAAAAACAATAACAATGCTTGTGTTTGAAGAACGCAGAAAGCAGGAAAGGAAATAAGGATAGCAGATATGAAGTCATTTTAGTAATTGAGGTAAGAAGTCTTGATTATAAATGGAGATGAAGGGAAATATGTAAAAGTGTAAGAATTTATGCAAGCAAAGGAACTTTGATGAATTGGCTAAGATTGAATAAAACATAATTGTCATTCACATTGTGTTTCACATATTATGCATTCTCATGAATTATGTTTTATAAAATTAATCACCATTGGAACGTGTCCATTATTACTCTGTCTTTTCTCCCAGATCCTGCCCATTTACATCTCCCTCTCCATCCACCCACCAAACTGTGCAAATCCGTGGTTTCACCTCTACCTATCCTAATCCCTCCATCCCCACACCTTGCCCCGCCTTGAGTTCCCATACATGTTTACAATACATACAAACTTTACAAGTAAACCAATAAAGGGGGAAATGCAAAAAACAAGGTCCATAATCTTTAATATTTTTATTGCCCAATCTTAGCAATATTTATTTAATTTGGCAAAAAAAGGTGCTTATGAATCTACATATAACTAGTTAAGAATACTATGTCTCATTTATAAATATTAGATCAGCTTTTCTTTGCCTTTTCCTTGTCTGTTTTTAGGATATCTACACAAAGCAGTTTGTGTGTGTGTGTTTATGTGTGTGTGTTTGTGTGTGTGTGTTTGTGTGTGTCTGTGTCTGTCTGACTGTCTGTGTCTCTGTGTGTGTCTGTGTCTGTTAGTGTGTG